ACGACGGTGAGTTCACGTTATAAAGTTTGATAATTAAACCCGTTTTTAATGGTGGAAAACGGGCATTCTCGTGTTAAAAATATGGCACCGCATTGGGTTACCATTTTTTCTCTAACTAGTTTTCAACAAGTTCTTCTTTGCATTGATGATAAAAATAATGTAGAAATGCTAACATGCTGAGATTATATTCTTCAAGCAGTGTAGCTTCCTTGGTTCAATTCAATTGACTTAATCCTTTTCTAAAGAAGTAATGGTCATTGACTGGTATTGCTGCAACCCTTTTTTTCTTGGTACCCTATATTTCCATTGAAGGTGGCAGTTTTTTCCTTCCGTTGGATAATCTACAAACTGGACTAGTCCAAAAATGGACTAGTTGCATTACATATACCCAAGTTCTTTAAGTGTCTTCTAAATGCCAGTAACGATTATAAAGCACCCTAGAGTACTGAGTATCCCCTACTAATTTGTCTCACTACATGTCCTTGCCTGTTTGGAGAGCTTTTAATCTTGAATTTGCTGTGTCTTACATCTCTGGAGTTCCTTCATTTCTCCTAATGTTTTTGGACCCATATTGATTCTGCTTTGAATTTGCTATCTCAAGGAAAAATACTACTTACGATCCTGAATCCCGAGTTATTCGCAGTAGAATGCAAAATTTAAATATACAATAAATTTTGTTTTAAGAACACGATTTTATGGGGTTGTGTGCAAAGGCATTTTAACAAGTAATAATTAGGATTAATTTATCCTAATCAACGTATTTAATTTTTTAAAACTTTCGAAACTTTTTTAATTATTACGTACAAGGAAATATCATTTAGAAGAAAACACTCCAGTTCAAAAAATATGGAACAAGCATTTATAATCTGCATAATTTAATTTACATAATCCCCCGGTGAAAACAAACGCCTCTTGTTTATTAAGAGAAGAGGGCAAAAGTGGGACCCTTTTCCTGATTTTTATAAAAAACCCTTCGGGTTTCCTAAAATTCCGCACGAAAGTTAGGCGATGACTGTCCATACATTCTCGTCAAAAATAATAAGGGGTAGAAAAACTGTTTAGTTTGCCCATTAAAATAATATGGTTAGTTATTAATTCAAGAAGAAAGAAGAAGAAACAAGAACAAGAAGAAAGCCAACTTTTTAATTTTTACTATTTTCCACTCTCTCGTTTCTGCGATTTTCGTCGCTGCGCTGGAAGTAATGCTGCGGAAATAATTCACACTGTTGCGGGTGATATTTTCCGGCAATGGTGAATACAGTTTACAGCAAAATTGATCTCGTATAACTTCAAAAGTGTTCGGTCATAAGTTGTTATATCCCCAAAGATATTGTAAGTAAGCTTTATTTTATTTAGATTTTAATTATATATTAGACAAGAGCACTCCTTCTAAATAAAAATATACCAGAAATGTTCTTGCTGTTGTTCATTTGTTATTGTTTTAATATCGTTAATCAACATTTATATTTACATAGGAGAATTAGATGTTAAATCCCTTAATACCAACAGGATAATGCGTCAGTTCATAATGAAAAGTTTCTTGAACACGAAGAAAATATTTTCTTGAGCATAGCTTGTAAAACAATTAACAATTTAATTACATTAATCCTTAATTCGTGCGTGCTTATTTTATGCATTTTTGTGTGGTACAAGGGCGGTCGAGGTAGATCGTAAAATTTCCACAGCGTCGGTACGCAACAATAAGTGCGCGCACAGCCCTCAATGTTATTCAAAAAGTTTGTTTGGATTGAAGATGAACCATGGACTGGGAAACCTTCTGTTTTCAACTTAGTTCGAGAGAAACATGTCAGCTCGCCAGTGTTCAATGAAAGCGACGAAACCATTCATTCTAGCTTACATCAACTTGGGAGGACATGGAAGGTGAGCAAATAAGATCCTCATAAATGGACCGAAGGCAACAAGCTTCTGCGTCTAAATATTTACCTTTCATTGCTTTTACGGTACAAAGTAGAGATGCTTTTTGAACCAATTGTCACATGCGAAGAAAAATACATACGGGACAAGTCGTGTTAAGATTGCCGTTGAGATATTGCAGTTTTATGTTTATATAACACGACTCGCAAGAATGGCACAATTACACAGAAGACAAAGACTTTGAGTGAGTAGAAATATTTTGATTGAATATAAAAAATATATTTTGCATTGTATAAATTCACTTTTTTCCACATCCTACATGTATTTGTTAAATTTAAACAATGTTTGTAAATACCTGGTCCTAAAGATGATCTCAATGAAGATCGAAACGTTGGCACGATAAAGAAAATGTTTTTTTTTTAAACCTTCATCTCACCAGACCGCATCTCACGATTTCTGAAAAATTATCGACTAACGGTCACTAATCGCCACACTTTCATAAAAGTCGTCAACATAGTATATTACACAATCCTTATTGTAGGGCTTATTTGTGACCTTATGCAGTTTGCATATCGGTGTACTTCTTTGTGCATATAATTTTAGAAATTTATTCTGCATTCTTTGCAACTTTTTAAAGGTTTGTGTTAGAGATAAAACTCCACCCTGCGGCTGCGTACAGGTTTTCCCTGTACTTTGTGTAATAATTATTTATTCTAAACACTGAGTGCTGAAAGGGAAGATTTAACAAGGGAAATAACTGTCCCGTTAAACCTTTGCATTTGTTAGCAACTGCATTAATGTGCTCTGTGAAGGAAGTTCTTCCATCCAGTTGAACTCTTGAGTATTTTACCGTATCAGTCCATTATATTTTTTCATTTTCTATCAGTCTTGTGTGATGTTGTGAGGGTAGCCCTTTAGGTGAATAAGATCGCAGGAGTTTTGTCAACGTTACTCATTGTTTTCTATATACGAAAGTGTCTCAAACTCTTTTGTAAGGCCCTCTTTTGTAATCGGTGTTACAGGGTGTCAATTCTCCATGATGAGGCATACAAAGCATTTTTATCTTTCTTCCAATTAAACTTTTTATTTGTACACATACATTTAGACTTTTGTTTTGTAAGTAAACTGCTTAATCACAATCCTGCCATAAAGAAGAGTACAAATGGGAAGAAAATATATATAAACTGTATTTGTGGTATTTGTTGATTTTCTAAGAGTTTATAAAGTTATTTTATTTTGTTTATTATAATTTTTCTAATTTCCTGTAAGGAATTAACAGCACTAAAAAGGTTCAAATTCATTACAAAAATATGTTTTTTACATTTCTGAAAAGCACCATTTTTTATATTGACCAGTTCGACGTGATAGCGACGAACATTGAAAAAAAAATTAATCTAAGTGATTTTAAACATCCATTATTAGAGGAAACTAAACATAAAAAGCGAAGTTTACCTTTATGTGAAACAAAAACTATTTGCTTTATGGTCATGCACGAATGATAATAGGTCCTCTTCGGTATTTCCATTAGCTGACAATCTTGTTTCAAACAAAGCAGCCCATTTATAAAATCAAGCATACAATCCATATTACTAATAGGCTAGGGATACTAGGAAAAGGGGTTTGTGCTCCCGAGGAACTCCAGCCTTCTAGCTTATTGTACCTGTATACAACCTATATTAAATTTTATGTCTGGATATTTTGGATGTATACAACAATTTTCTAGTGCAGATCGGAAGGATTTATTTTCAGTAAGCATTCGCTCGGCTCGTCAGCCAATTAGACATATATCTGCTGGCAATCCGGAGAAGGCGATAATGATCTCGCACAAATTCAGCGAGGCGTGTTCTATTGTGTAACAATATTCGTGTAGAGATAAAATGTTTCTGACTGACAAAATGAGGAAGATGTGATCACAAATAAGTAGAAGTATAAAGCCAATATATATATATATATATATATATATATATATATATATAAAATTACGTAATGAGCCCCTATTTTTTGTTCCATATGTAAATTAAATGCATTGATAAAAAATGGGGTAACTCAAAGAAAGATTTATCTAGTGATCAATAAATATATTATTTTCCAAATTGAAATTTTATGAAATTCTTTAACTGACTACGTATACGTGTCTAACTTTTTCAGAATGTTGTTCATGTTTTCAATTAAAAAATAAATAATAATAATTTTAGGCTTTCTGGTGTCAATTAACTTTGTTTAGTAATTTACTTTCATTAACAATAATCTTTACCTACTCCCGGGCATGACGGTAAACTGCGTCCACATACATAACACACCCATACACCTACACTGACACAAGTACATTTACATTATATACACCTTAGGGCAACCGTTCCTAGGAAGGTTCTTGAGACGAACTAAAAATCTCACATCCTGTGATTGGCGACCCAGTACGTACATAACTCCGCCACACCTAACACTAGGTGGCGTGAGGGCGGGGGACTTGGATGGTGTCTGGGCCTCCGTCAGCATGCAACCACAAACACACAGGCCGCTGCACGCGGCCAAGGGCCTCGGAACCCGAATATAACAAACGCAAATTACCGTGAACAACACACCCCACAAACAACACACAGTTTTCATCTGGAGGTGGCGATCTCCCGGTCTCTTTGAGTGTCCATGAACCCTGCGCCTGTGAGGGTACAGGAGGAAAACTGGGTTACGGCACTCCCGGGCCGCGAGGTAGTACAGGGACCCGAACCCCGGAATAGCCACCGGGGAGGCTGTCCTATCACCTCGTGTATAATGTTGTGATGCCTAGTACTGCCAGCTGGCGACTGGATGGTTACCGTGCTGGGCGTCGCGGCGGGCCCTCTCGAGGCCACACAGGTTGTGGGGCGACTGGACAATAACTCGAGCCGGCCGGGAGGTCGACTCCAAAGGCAGAGAACTGTATACACATGTCACAATACAACCGTACAGACAAAACACAATAGCCGATTAATAATGAAAATGAAAGAAAATAACCCAGGAGTAAAAGTGCCTACTCCGCTCAACCTGGGCCCAACCAGCCCAACAACAACACCCCCTCCTAATCCAACTCCCCCTATTAACACCCTAACTCTCCCTCAATTCCCTACTACAAAAAATCCGGGGAAAGCATGGGGATTACTCTTCTTACCGAGACGTTTGTGACGCGATATTTCAACGTTGCAAGGAGAGAAGGAGATTTTAAATTTACGTGCCCTTTTCTCCTTCACAAGAGCATAAAAGAAAATCTTGGCAACACTAGCTCTGTAACCAAGAGCCGGGATGGGAAAATATGTATTGGTGTAATAGGAAAACGCAATGATGAGAAGCTTACAAAATTAAAGACCCTTGCTGGATATGAGGTTGAGGTCACCCCTCATTATAGGTTGAATACCTCAAGAGGGGTAGTAATGTGTCATGATCTTATGAATAGTAGCGTCACTGATATAAAAGAAGGCCTTGAGGACCAGGGGGTACTAGAGGTGAGGAGGATGAATACTCGCCGGAATGGACATGTTGTCCCATCGGCGAGTCTGATCCTCACCTTTGACATGCCAAGGTGCCCCGATGAAATAAAAGCTGCTTTTTATAAATTAAGGGTCCGACCATACATCCCTAGCCCCCAGAGATGTTACAGGTGCCAAAGATTTGGGCATATCTCCCTGAGATGTAAATCTCCCCATGAGGTCTGCGAGTGTGGTATGGAGGGGCATCCGAAAGAATCCGGATGTGCCAACCCCCACGTGCGTAAATTGCAGCGGCAATCATACCTCGCGATCACCCGATAGTCCTGTGTTATTGAAAGAACGAGAAATACAAAAATTAAAAGTCCTCAATAATATGAATTTTAGAGAGGCCAGGATAGTTGTTGAGAGAAGGGGCAACGCGGGGACGTATGCCCAGGCAGCAGCACGTCCTACTCTGGGGCCGACGGCTCCTAAGGAAGTTGCCTCCGCCAATGCCCCCCTGTCTGCACCGGGGGCAAAATTAATGGTGGCCAACGCCACCCACGCCAAAAGGATGATTACATCCTCTTCACAAACGTCCCCAGCACATAGTGTCAAGGCCAGCCTGGAAAAGCAGCCAAACACCACGGGGACGACGATGCCCCCACCTAAGCTTCCGCTTCCCGTGCCGGAAGCTATTACTCCGTCAAGTCCGTCCCGTATAAACTGGGTGACGGACTTAGAAGCAACGTCTGGGTCAGTTACTTTTTCAGCAGCCACTGATGCTCCGGCAAGGAGGAAAAAGGGGTGGCAGAAGGGTCGACCCAGATCGAACATGAGAAAGAAAAAAGGAAGCGACTAATGGAGTCCATTCTGCAATGGAACTGCAGGGGTATAAATAACAAAAAACAAATGCTGCAGTTAATGGTCAGGGAACATGTACCGATGGCGATACTCCTACAAGAAACCCGAATCCGCCCGGAGGCGCGCCTCGAACTGAGGGGGTATAAAACCAGCCGGATCCGGGCGGTAGGGCGCATGGAGGAGTGGCCATATTAATAAGAGAAAACGTACCGGTACATGAGGTGAGGATAAACACGGAAATACAGGCGATCACAGCGAGGATAGCGGCACCGATGAACCTCACTCTGTGTTCCGTCTATCTCCCTCCAAATGGATCGCGGCACAGCAGTGAGGTCACTGCCCTGGTCGAGCAGCTGCCCCCGCCAGTTTTGGTGTTGGGCGATTTTAATTCGCACAACACATGGTGGGGGTCGATGCGAACAGAAGCTAGAGGGAGATAGATGGCAACCTAATAGGGGAGTCTGACCCGGTCTTCTTAAACACCGGCTTTGCTGCATATAATGATTTTAGCACAGGCCAATTTAGCGCGATCGACCTGTCGTTAGCCTCAACATCCCTGGCCACCCGGTTAGAATGGTCTCCATTAGGGGACCCCCACCTGAGTGACCACTTTCCGATAGTGTTGAGGAGTTCCGTCTCGAGAGGAGTGTAACATAATCCCACGAAGTGGAGCCTGAAGCTTGCGGATTGGGAGCTTTTCTCTGCGATGGTGTCGGCACCTCAGTTAACAGGGGATGTCGACACGGATCTCCTCCTCTTTGAGCGGGAGATCAACCGCGCTGCGGGCAGATCCATCCCCAGGACCGGTGGGTCTACTTGTAGGCCACCGGTTCCTTGGTGGAGCGATGCCTGCAGCCGTGCACACGCGGTGAAGAAGCGAGCATTCCGGCGGTTTAGAAGACATCCGACGGAGGAGAACCTTGCAAACGTTAAAGTAAAAAGGGCTAGAGAGAGGCGTACCTTGTCCCAAGCCCAAAAGGACAGCCTGGCGAGGTATGTATCTGAGATGACCTGCCACACCTCCGCCAGAGAAGTATGGGAAAGGGTCAGAGCACTCACTGGCCGATCCAGATCTCCGTCGGTACCGATATTGACCACCGAACGCGGGAGTGTGACGGAAGCCTCGGAGGTTGCTGAAGAACTGGCGCGGCATTTCACCGCGGTGTCCAGTTCCGAAGCATATTCTGATACATTCCGACAAAGGAAAACAGAGACGGAACGCACTGAGATCGACTTCGGCGGCGGCACCAATGAAGCGTACGACATGCCTCTGACGATGGAAGAGTTCGAGTCCGCGTTGGGGCGCACCCGGAATTCAAGCCCCGGGTGTGACGGTATCCCATATGAGATGCTTCGCCACCTTCCCCAGGGTGCGAAGCGGCGCTTGTTGGCCTTGTTCAACAACATATGGGATTCGGGCTCTTACCCCGATCGTTTGCGAGAAGCGCTTATCATGCCTATCCTTAAAGAGGATAGGGATCCAAGCCTGGCTACGAGTTACAGACCGATTTCGTTGACAACCTGCTTGAGCAAAATCCTGGAGTCTATGGTGAACGGTCGTTTGACCTGGCACCTGGAGACAAAGGGATGTTACAGCCAGTATCAGGCGGTATTCCGTAGGAATCGCTCTGCGGTGGATGTCGAAAGCCCCAGCAAAAAAAAAAATCTTTACCGAAATTTTTTATGCTTTCTATACAAAACTAGGTTAAATTACGAAAAAAATATAAATTGCAACAAATTTATAGAAAGGGCGGAGTAAATAATTATCAAGAATAATGGACGGAAAAGGTGCGTGAGAGATGAGCCCCTGCTGTGAACGAGATTGATGGGCGGCTATAAGAAAAACGTGGGCGAGAGAAAAATGCCTAAAAACTTTAAAATTACTGAGATTCCAAATCATCATGTGAATGAATATAACAACATAAAATTCAATTTGTTATAAAATTGTTTTAAACCTATATATAAGTTGAATAATTTTTTTGGTCGAATGTGTTTATTCACAGAAATTACAAATAAAGGCTGATATACATTTACAACCTTACGAATCTAAATCAATTCTCGTCGTTATGCTTTCGGGAAATCTGGCTTCAGACTAACTTGTTTGTTAAATAAAAGTCATTTTAAAATTTCTAGAGTGGGAGAGAGTGCTGATGACAATTCTAGGAGCAACACCTGCATCCTAGCATTGTCATCACATTATTTTTTTAACACAATGTTTATACTCGTATATAACTCCTCCCCCCTTAGAGAGTGCTTCCCTGGAAGCTCGTGAAAGAAAAAGAAAAAATGACAATTATAAAAATTTGAACTAACTTATTCTATGCTAAGATATTATTTTACATTTGCAATGAACCACACCTGTGGTTACTTAAGGCTAACATACTTTTCTTATATCTATACAAAATAATGGTGATTACAGTTAATATGACGGGTAGAATTATATACAGAAGGATAGTCCAAAGGCTGGGATTAACATGTACCGCTGGAGTTTCTTGAATGTTGTGGGTGAACGTTGGTATGTCCATTTCCAATTTTTGTAGATGAACGGTGATGTTCAGGTTCTTCATCTTTTCTCTTCATTGGGAACGACAAGCCAATCAACCAGTGAGGTCGTCCAGAAGTGCGGGTCTGTAGGTTAACCTCCTTGTTCCTGTATAATAGAGTGCTGTCTTCTGCATCTATTAGGAACAACCCTTTCAATTTATGCGTTTCCAGGCCACTTGAAGTTTCTATTTTAATAGTGTCAGGTTTCGCAAAAATTGCTAGGTATTGGTTAATTTCTGGAATTCGTTGCAGTAAATTGTTGGCTATTTTGATGTCAGCAATCTGGCAATGTTCCATGTTTTCATGAAGCAATATGTTCTCGCCGCAAGGTGTTGCTTGATGAACCTCCTCCTCGGTGGAGCAAAGGTAAACTCCGTTGATTTCAGGGCACAGTTTTTTCAGTGGTTGGATAATCGAATTGTCCCTTGACTTCAAAAAGTATTTGTACTCTGCCAGCACAGTTATAAATTTGTTTTTGTAACAAGATGGAATGGAAAGTAGACAATACAGGTCATAATCTGTTTGTTGCGTTACAGGTAGCGACAAATAGTTCACAATTTCATTGTTATAATATTTACATTTAGTTTTTACCATTGATTCAAGTTTTAGGATATTCTCTAATTTTAGTTCAAATGGAAATCCACCGGGATAATGTTTTAATAATTACTTTAATTCATTAAACATATCTCTACGTTTGATTATACTGGGATGTAGTCTCCCTAGATTAGAAAATGCAATAGAATTTTCTATTTCCCTTAGCATATCAGAGATTAATTCAAATAATATAACAAGTTGGTTAAGCATATTTTCTAATTCTAATACATAAATGTCCTTATTATTATCCCTAATGATATTATTAAGTTCTACAATTTTATTTTTTAATTCTACATTATTAATATTTATTTCCTTAATCAATTCTTTATAATTTTTAATAACATATTGTTTACAGAGTATTGACTATTTGATTGATAATTAAAGTTATTTACACTATTCTTTATATCTGCTAACATTTTTTCATAATTTTTGCCATCATAGGCGTCTAAGTTACCTGGTATGAATTTTACAATGGATCCTAAACGGTTTATTACTCCTCTTTTTATTCTAATTTTTTCTGTACAATTAACGCATTTAGTTTTTCGATTATTACACTGCCTTCATAATTAATAATTTTAAAATAATTATTTAATTTTTTCCTTATCAGTGTCGTTTTTTCCTAGCTCAAAGATTTTCAAATAATTAAAGTTTAACTCACTGAATTTGGTGTCTAATTCTGTTACATTTTAGTAATGAATGAGAGTGTGGTGTTTTTGTTGGATTTTCCCTTTTCCTAGGCTTATGGGTAGTATACCAGGGTTTGTTGTGATGTTTTTGATATTCAGTCCGTTTGCGTAACAGCTGAGGATGGACCTGGAACAGCGTCAATTTTTTGAGTGGTTTTCCTAGGTCTTTGAACATCTGACAAGTGGATTTTACTCTGTGTATTATAGTTTTGTACATTTAGGTTTCCTAATTTCAGAGTTCTGTTTATTGATTTTAGCGTTTGTTTTTTATATTTGTTTTTAGTTTTACTTTGTTTTTGTTTATTTCGTATGTGTACCTCTTCAGGGATATCAGGTAATTCTTCTCTCTCTCTCTCTCTCTCTCTCTCTCTCTCTCTCTCTCTCTCTTGGTTTAGCTTTGCTTGTTTTTTTGTTTGCTTGTTTTTCCTTTGATTTTCGAATTTAGTTCATTAATCTTTTGATATAATAAAAGAGTTTTCTGTTTGTGGGTGTTTATGTAGTCGTTGTATATTTGAGTTTCTAAGTCTGGTGCGAACGGGGAGTCATTTTCGATATGACCGCTGATTATGTTACTTGGTTTTGCGTTCGTGGAGGAATGAATTGTGTTGTTATATGCTAAAATAGCATAGTTCATTTTATCTCTGATTGAATCTT